AAGGGACATCAAGGATCATGAATCCTGCCCTCTATGCCCAGGAATATCATAGGTAGTATGATTTTCCAATTTTCCAATTTGTTCTCAGTCTGTCATATTGCTCATGATCTCTTCTTTGCTAGTATTTACAAATCAGCTATGTCTGCCCTTAAAGTCTGTCCTTACACCATCAGCCATGAATAAAGCAAAACCCAAACACCGGAGTTTTTGTCAGTATGTCCTTAACCCTTAGCAGCATTCCCCAAAGCTGAAGGTGCAGGCTGTGGCAGAAGGAATCTAAATTTTTCAGACAGAATATTAGTACTCAGCATGCAGGACTGGCATTCACTCTGAATGGATCCAGCTCTAGATCCAGCTCTCAGATTCTGCCTTTCTGCACCATAGCCAGAAGTGATGGCAAATACTCAGCACTCTTAAAGAAACATCCCATACACTGCCTGGATGCTCATCAAATAATGTGATATCAACCCCTCTTGCTAGCTCTGACTGGGAGACAATCTCACCAAGGCCAGTGAGGGAAACAGATGACCATAGAATGGTTTGAACTGGAAGGGACCTTCAAGATCATCTAGTGCCAACCCCCTGCTACAGGCAGGGAATCCTCCCACTAGACCAGGTTGTTCAAAGCCTTATCAGCCTGGCCTTGAATGCTTCCGGGGAGGAGGCATCCACATCACTCGGCAATTTTTCCAGTGCCTCACCACCCTCACAGTAAAGAATTTCGTCCTGATATCCAGTCTAAATCTACCCTCTTCCAGTTTCTAGTCATTTCGCCTCATCCTGTCACTGCATGCCCATACAAAATGTCCCTCCCCTGCTTTCCTGAAGGCCCTTTCAGGTACTGGAAGGCCATTATATGGTCTCTTGGACCCTTCTTCTCCACACTCTCATGGTCACCCTTGCAGACTACACACCATGTGGTGAGACAGTGGCTTTTCCTCCACTGGTGCTTCTGTCCCTGGTAAGTAAAGGAACAGCTGTGTGTGCCTGGTTGGTATCTTTCCCAAATGCTCCCAACAGTATTTGTTTTGAGTCCACTGAAGCCAATGCAGTTCTTCCCTTTTCTTTAACTGGCCTTAAAAAGCTTAAAAAAATTTTTTAAAGTAACCTTAAACTTGCACTTGAATCAGTGCAAGTGGAAGAATTTGAAATTAAATCCTTCACATTTAAAAAAATAATTATCAGGATTCAAATTATAAAAAAGAGATACAAATTACTTTGAGACTGTATCATACGTTTGTGTGCAAAAATACTTATTAAGATCACAGGTTTTCAGCAACAAATTGCATACAGCATTTTATTCTGTAGCTTTGATAAACTGACACAATGCAGACTGATGTTTATCATGCTTCAGATCCTCTATTGCCTCAGGTATTATTTCTAGACATCGTGTGAAGCCACGGCTTATGTTCTTCAGTCCAAGAAGAATATTTTAAACGAAAGTATTCCAACCCATCTTCTGAGCCCATTGCCTGCAGAAGATCAGCTACAATGAAGATGAAACAAAAATAACCCAGAGAAGCAAAATACTTTTTCAGTGTTGTGCCCAAAGTAACACAGTTTCATATCATCCTTTGCAGAGAACAATAACTGTGTAATAAAATCCAGGTAAAGAACAGTCACCACTAGAAATACTATCAGTGAAAAACAACTCTGAGTAATGTTGTAATATGGAATTTGAAAAAAGACTAGAAACTTTCTGTTCACAGTAATAAATTCTGTTATATGCCTTCCAAGTCAGAGCCTGAATGAAAGAGGTGGTAAAAAACAAATGATATGCCAAGACACCAGGAGAACAATACAGACAATAAAGCTTTTATAGTCTGGCAGACAGGATGGGCAGAATAGATGTGGTAGTAATTCCTATAAAATCAGTGGGTGAAATCTCTCTTTTGAAAGAGATCTCTAGAAGTGTTTGCTTCCCTCAAAGCAGGATTTTGTTCACATTAAATTAGCCTACTAGGGTTCTTGAATAGTTTGCCACTTAATCTCTGCACGTGTCCTGGCACACATCCTCCTTCCCATCTCATCATGTTGAAAAGCTTTTTCTTTAAACATAGTAGAAATTCCTCTTGCTGTTGTTTACATGTACTGCTCGCTTTCACTGTGGATGTCTAAGAGAAGTCTGGCTCCATCTTCTCTGCATCCCCTATCAGCCAGGTGAGGGCAGCAGAAAGATTCCAGTGCATCACTCTTTCTAGTGGACCAAACCATCCTGGTTGCTCTGTATTCTCCATGTATGACATCCTCTCCATGCTTCTGTGGGCTCCAAACTCCAGTTTCCTGATAACTTCTTGTACTGGTACTCCAAGATAGATCCACTATTCTTGATGTAGCCTCACAAGTACTCAGTGCAGGAAAATAATTGCTTCCTTTGACCTGCTAGCTGTGCTTCTGATAACTGAATTTGAAGCTCAACCTTCTGCACTGTAAGAGACTGCTGACACAGCTTCATCTGGTCCACTAGGGCCAGTGGCTATTTTCTAAGGTAAGCTAGATGCAAGACTTTACGTTTGTATTTGCTGTTGAACACTTGACCAATGTAGTTTAAAGAACTGCAAGAGAGACCACATTGAACACTTTGCTAAAGAAGTTATGTATGGAATCATAGAGTCATAGAATTGTTGGAAACAACCGGCAAAATCATCAAGTCCAACTGTGCTGCCATTCCACTGCCACCACAAGCACTAACCCATATCATGCAGCTCTTCATCCAGACACCTCTTGAACACTGCCAGGGATGGTGACTCCACCACCTCCCTGGGCAGCCATTCCAGTGCCTGACCACTCTCTGGGAAAAAAAGTTCTTCCTTATGCCTAACCTAAACCTCCTCTGGTACAACTTGTGGCCATTTTGTTTGTTGCCTGGGAGAAGAGGCCAAGCCTGTCCTCATCAAAACTTCCCTTGAGGAAGTTGTAGAGTGCAATGAGGTCTCCCCTGAGCCTCCTCTTCTCCAGACTGAACAATCCCAGCTCCTTCAGCTACTCCTCATAGGATTTGTGCTCCAGACCCCTCACCAGTTTCGTTGCCCTCCTCTGCACACACTCCAGGGCCTCAATGTCTTTCCTGTAGTGAGGAGCCCAAAACTGAACACAATACTCGAGCTGTGGTCTCACCAGTGCTGAGTAGAGGGGGACAATCACCTCCCTGCTCCTGCTGGCCACACTATTTCTAATGCAGGCCAGGATGCCATTGGCCCTCTTGGCCACCTGGGCACTCTGTCGACTCATGTTCAGCTGAGCATCAACCAACACCCCCAGGTTCCTTTCCTTTTCACAGTCATGTAGTTAAGTCCAGTTCTAAGTTGCTAGGAAAACAAATTCAGGCATTGATGCAGAACATGAGTTTCTGTTCTTGTCTTGTTTGACAAAGTTTTAGCAATAAACAGTCCCTGAGAGACTTTCGGCTTTTTTGACCTAGAAGATGCAAAACTCCTTAACAGTACCCAAGCTCTATTTCTTTAAGTTGGCTTGGATACCACAAACATCTTAGAAACATCTGTATGGCAATCACTACAGGTCATTTTCCCTGCCAAAGAGTTTAGCACATGCAGAGCTTGAGGTTTCCACAGCTGCATTTTGTGTAGCGTCCAAGCCAGTTGATTTATATCTAGGAGAAGGCTTTTAATGGTGTTGCTTTGTGCAGCCATAGTACAACATCTTCAGATATAAAAGGCGATTTCAAGACTAGTTTCAAATTTCAGTAAGGAAGACAGACAGCTAAGGGCATGTGGGAAGATAATTTAATGAAAAATCGTAGGAGAACTTTTGTGTGAATAATGTAAAAGCATAGTAACATTTTACTATGTGATTACTATTGGAAAGGAGAAATATCCCTGATGGAAAAGATGGCAAACAGCTGTAAGATTAGCCAACAACTTATAGATGCTTAGAATTAAGGAGTAGGGATGAGGCAGGAAGGTAGTTAGGCCTACCTAAAACTAAGAAAGTATCTAACTGAAATCTAGTAGATGTTAACCTAATACACATGCTCAGAAACTATACGTATAAGAAAAGTCTGATGTAGGATATTATGAAAGTATGCTCTGGGTGAAGCTATTTTACTTGTTTATAAAGAGAGTGTAAAGACAAGTCTACATGTACTTGAAGAAATGGTACAAGTTTCTTCTTTAATGCTATTGGACTGCGGTGGAGATTTGCAACCTGAATTTTCTCACAAAATCATGGACACTCCTGCTCAATGGTTCATTGAATGTATAACTGGCACGGTAGCTGAATCAATATCTGCACTCTATTTCAGACCTTTCTATTAAAAAGGTTTTCTGTGCTCAATTTAATTTTATCCATTTTATCAAATTCATTCATTCAATCGCGTTAATTTTTCATCTTTCTCTTAAAGATTTATTTCTTCATATTATGGATTAGATGGTGCTTTTCTTTCTGCAAAAAAGTTTTCTAAATCAAAGTGAGAACAAGCAAGCATCTCATTAGCAACAAGAATAACACAAATAAATCTAGACTCATTCAAAAAGCAAGCTGTAGTCTTTTCTAATTATTTCCATAACCCTAAGGAACCCACATTTCCCAGGAGAGTATCTGAGATAATCCTTGAATATTAAGAAATAAGGAGAAAGTGCAGCAGATTTAGCAGGCAAATTGGAAAGAGAAAGAGGATTGAGCACCTGGGAAAGAGACGTGCTTCAGCATTCATCAGACTGGCTGTTATTTCTCGCAGTTGGGAAAAAACATCCATCATTTTTCATTCCTCGGTCATACAGATGATTCAGAAAGTTTTACACTACAAATAATGCTGTTTAAAAAAATAAATTTTTCAAGTACCTGATTGTCATATGAGCAGCAGACTGGGGTATGAAATTTCGCCAAGAGTGCTTAGAAAATCATTTTTAAAATAGGATCCAGGAAATGAATTGTGCCATGGAAATATTTTATTTAATAGCTCTCAGCAAGTTAATGTATTTGCGCTTGCACTCTACTTTTGATGAAAATGCTTAATTTTGTCTAAATACTAGAATATGTAGTTTTGGTTGTTTGTTTTTTTTTTTAATTAAGAAAAGCTGGATACTTGTCCCTTATAACATGGAGCTCTGAGGCTTTCACAAAATTTCAACTGGAAACATTGCAAAGATTTTCCTTTCACTCTAGGCAGTGTGTGCAGTTCTGAGGAGGTGCCTGCTCTTTTTCAATGAGATGCACTTGGGAAACACTGTGAGCAATTTTTGCATTTCTTTTTCAATCAGCTGTGGTCCCAATCCAAGAAGGTATTCACCAGTCAGCCACAGCTACCCCAGAGCACAATACTGCCACTTCTAAAAGCTCGAACGATCATGCTCAGGTAACATTTTTTCTATTGCACAGCTTACTTTATTTTCTCCTCCATGCTTTTGAGTGAGGCTTCGAAAATTCCAGACAGTCCATCTCCCCACGCAGTGGCAGCAGGAGAACAGGAGTGGTGGTGGAAGAAACGATGACTACTGCTAGACCTAATCTCTGGATGAAGCCTCTTCTATGAGTGGCTTCTTCTTACTCCCGAGCAACAGACCCCGTGAAGCTCAGTGCATGTCCTGGAGCACCAGATGACTGGGCACTGTTCCCTCCCTGTTAGGCAAAGAGGAAAGAATTCAGTGTTGTCTTAGCGATCTCAGGTTCTATTATAGGCGTACAGCAAACCTCACTGAGTAAAGGGGGAGGGAGAAGGTTTGGGAGTGATTTTTTGGTACTTCTTTTGAGCTCAGCAGTACCCCATCGGCAGCAAGGAGCCCTAAACTTTACATTCATGTGCACTTGCATAAGCTTCCCTTCTCTCTTTGCATGCTTAAATTTATGTATACATATAAATGCCCCCAAAAGCTATGATACATCTGAGGTTTTTCAGCCAGCATTAAATGCTACTCTTTAATCTTGATCTATTTCACAGGTGAACAAGCTCTTCAGAATTCCTGGATTTTGTAGGAAGAGGAAGGGAAGCTTGTGTGTTTGATTTTGGCATTTTTATGTGAAATACGATGACCCAGATACATGCTGATTTTAACAGTCTCTTTTTTTTTTCATTATTTGTATTTTCAGCATGTAGAGGGCATCACTCTTTGTATATCAATAATTCATTTTACCCATAACATAAATTAAGGTGGTTTGCTTTCTTTTCCTTTGTTTTTCATTCATACACATGCAGGCACAGGCACACATGCATATTAATTACAAGTGGAAAGTGCAAATGACACTACATACTACACAGCATCTGCTCAATCCTTAATTAACCAACCTTCATGTGGTTCCCATGGCAACAATGCTTAACAGACTCCCCTGACTTAGAATATTCAATAGAAAATCTTACACTACATATTTTATTCAAATTGTGGCCATCAGATTACGTTTGTGTTAGCATTGTAGTGGCTGTGTTGATGGGAACAGAATGAGTCCTTGCTCTACTTGACCTCTCCACATATATTACCTCATTAAAATGTATAATAATGCTCAAGCTAAGTCACGTTAAGGCAGACTCGGTCTTTTTCAAAGGCTAGGCAGAAGCCCATTACCCCTTTTTTTGTTTGTCAATTTTCTCAAGCTTCAGAAAATGAGCAGGAATATTTTTCAACCCTGCTCTTGCAACAACCATCCTAAGGGCAATTATGAAATTCTCAACAGCAAAAAGGCATTTCCTTGGTGTATTTCCTATCTCTCTATTTCTCATTTCTTATCAGCAGTCTCCAAGCATATGTTTTAGCAAGGTATGTTCCCCATTATCCCAAGGGAATGTGGATTAACACTTGCTGTTATAGCTAATGAAAAAGCAATATATTTTGGTAACTCATTTAGCAAGGGAAGCCCTATTCTCATTTTTGGCCACATCCTCTGTGGCTTTCTTCTAGATGCACGTGTCTCTCTACACTGAATGATGCACTATGATGGTGTTGGACTGCTCCACTAGCTAGACTTCAAGACCTTTTTCTTGTCAAGAATGAAAAGCTACACCCCACAGGAGAAAAGTCCTGATTGCCACGGGCCAATTGTGACCCATTGACAACATGGCCCTTCCTGTACCCAGCACAGCACCCTGCAGCAGGCCATTTGGATGAAAACTCTTAGAAGAGAATCACAGAGGGAGGCAGGAGCCATCCCTGCTGTTTTCTACCCTGCTTATGCCCAGAAAGCTCTCTCCCCAGAGACAGGGATAGGACAGAGCCCTCTGAAGGCCAAGAAGCTCTGCTCCTTCGGGGACAGGCTCCACTGGTAGGCTGGGGCAGGGAGCTATATGGGGCCATAATCACATCCAACATTTTTTGTCCTGTAAGAACAGTCATGAATAGTATTGCCCCCATGTGGGAAAAACCAACCAACCAACCAATAATGGGATAACAGGGCAAGTGATTTGAGAAGGGTCCTGGGTAAAATGAGAAGAAGGAGGCAGGAGCAGGTGACTTCAGGCCATGACTGTACACTAGTGACAACTGGAAGGTAGGGCATGTTGGCTTGCAAAACCTCTCTGTCTTTGCATTTCATAAACTGCTGTATCTTTCCTCTGGGTATTAAATTACAAGTTTAAACACTGGCTGCATACGGACAGAGTTGAAAAGAATGATTTTGCTATTGTACGCAGAAAACTGTATTGCTCTCAAAGTATGTACAAATTAAACGTTACTCTGAGTTCAGGGATAATCTAATTATTGCTTCCTTTTGAAGTAAGAGAACAATATTTACTCAGTAAATTATGGACCTTTAAAGGTAATACTTTCTTTGAAGATTAAACAACACACATGTTGTCAGTTATTATAACCATATTTGACCCCTTTTGCTCTGTAAAAATAGAAATGAATTTTGAGCTTTCACACAGATGTTACATTTCAGAAGGCATTTCACTGCTTCATATCCCTATCAAATGCCTTTAATGAGTGACTGAGAGGGCAAAGTATCAGAAAATCTGCTTGTGTGATGTGTGCAGTGCACAGCTACTCTGCAGTTCACAAGAACTTCTCATTTTAGCATGGAGGGGACATCAGTGGCATGGAGAAACCATCCTCAACATTGGGGTTGGCAGCAGGTTGGGCTCATAAGTCAGCAAGTCTGCTCTTAGTGACAGGAGTCTAGGGTACATATGTCTTCTGGAAAGGATGCAGAGCATCCTAGTTTTGTGCTAGGGGCTGGTCACAGCATAAGGAAGGACCTAAGTGCAAAACCTGGCATCTCCAGGAGAGTTCAGCAGGTCCAGCAGGACCAGGCAGTGCAATATCATGCTTCACAGCTGTGGATCCTCAATGCATCCAGCCAATGCAAAGGCTGCCATAGACAGAGATGATCCTTCCTGCAGTGAATTCCTGAAGTGATTACATCAAGCTTAATTTTCAGCTCTGAATAGTGTAATTTCATGGAATTCCCATGTGGACTTTTTTCTTTACTAAATTCCTAAATAGTGTATAGAAGCTTGAAAAACATAGCATTGAAGTGGAACAGTTTGAGTCTTTCAAGTTCAGAATAAGTTCCAAATATCTGAAGGCCCTTGGATCTCTTTTATGTTCAGGCCCATCTTTGTAATTACCCAAGAATTGCTGACAGAAGTTATAGAAATAATAGGTTGGAAACTTCTGAGCAATGTTTAGGGAAATGTTTCTGCTTATCAGAAAGCAATCAGGAAATTAAGCGGTGAACACTAATCGAGTTACATTTAATTGAAATTATAGATGGAAGGACTGCATTCCGGGGAATTTCAGATGTTCTACGCTCCAAATTTCTCAGAACGAGGAAAATTTTGAGTGCTCAGGTTGCATGTTCAGAATATTTGAGAAGCATTTTGAAGCCTTGTCATCTCACAGGGCATTCGGTTGTAGGACTATGACGCAGTCCTGCCTGCAGGACAAGCAGGAGTGACTAAGCCTTTGCAAAGATGTTAAAATGTTTCTCCTCCTTTTGGTGGTTTCTCACAATGCTGTTATGTTGTCTTTGAAAGTTTTTCTCCTGATCTTTCTGAAGAATTATGCTATAAATAGAATGAAAACAGCTCGAGTCAGAATTAGAAATTGAGCCAGTGTGCAAACTGAGACTTCTAGTGAAACAGCTGAGGAGTCTTACCCTTCACTACTAATTACTTTCAACTGTGAAGTACCCTTCAGCAGCCAGCATTCAGCCTTGGGTACTGTGAGCGGTCTCCCAGTGCTGTTCCACCTTCTGCAACCTGCACACAACCAACTCAGCTCTAGGTAGGCACCACAGGGATGACAGCTAAATAGGTGGCTGGCCTGTGTGACTTAGAGGTTCCTCTGAGGTCCTGCTGCTCTCCTGTGTGTTAAAGCAGGGTTGAGTGTGGCACCGGTGATCCAAGCCTCAATGGCATCAAATAGCTTGTTCCTCTCTCAGCTAGGTTTTTGGATGCCAGCCTGCACTGTGTTGCTGCCAGACATGTGATAGCCATTAGGAAACAGATGAGAATGCCCCACAGATCACCTACAACCCATGCATGGATTGCCCATATGCAAAGTTAGCTTTCTGTACCACTTCACCTTATGGTAAAAAAACAATGCAATTCCAGAAGTAGAAAAGCACCTATCTTGTTCTCTGTCCTCAAGCTTTACATATATACTGAGGACTTAAAGAAACTGATCTTATCAGTTCAACTTCCAACAGAAACCTTGGGCAGCAGCTTGAAGTCAGTCAGATTTGTTTAAGATACAAGCCACAGCATTCAACAGGAGCAATGGCATTTCCAACTCATGACTTACCGATGAGAAATTTTATACATCTCTTGTCTAGATACAACGTGGAGGCTAGCTGACCCAGGACATCACCTCCATGGTGGGAAAGAGTCTCCAAACCATCTTGAAGAAGGAATAAACTATGTGCAAGACTTTTCTGTCTATAGAAAATCCAGAAGCACTCCCAGATCTCAAAGTAAATGACTGATTTGATGTATACTTCAAAGGAGGCCACACCTTAGCTTTGGAGCCTCTGAGTCCTTCCTTTGCCTGCGGCATTGCCACTGTCCAGCCTTCATTGAGATACAAGCTGTTTCAATATTACTTCAGAACGAAGCACTTGGAGATAATTTAATGAAGCCTGGGCAACCTTGTCAATCCACCAAGTGGCTGCACGCTGGTTTTAAATCAGACCACAGCTGGCACCTGCAACTCTGCAAGGAAAGCAACATCAGCAGAGCAGCAGTTTGACTCCCTCTGATGTTATCCATTTCACTGACAGCCAGAGCACCTCGCCTCGAAACCCCGCTCCTTGCACAAGTGAGACAACAATAACACATTGTCAATAGCATCAAAAGTGGCAGAGAGTCCCTAGAAGATGATAATGGATACCCTCCACTGCCTTTGTATCTAGATTGGGCTTGGATGAGGATATTTCATAGAATTTACTTTAGTTTATTCGCTTTGATTATTTTTTTCTAACTGGCCTATAATTAACTCTCAGCATTGCTAGGCCAACTGTGTGCAAGTAGAAAAGTTTCACTGCAGGTTGGATATTACATACTTCAGCCAGAAGTGACACTAATTTCACGTGTTTTTTGCATCTTTACCTGAATGTCCACCCAGGGCTGCTGATCCCAGGGTACTGTCAATCCACTCACCTAGGAGGGCTAGGGACAATCTGTCTTCAGCTCATGAGATACCTCATCCATGCAGAGCATACTGGTGAAAAATGGTAAGCATGGGTGACTGAAAGGTTCACACCTTTGCACAGCTCCTTTAGGCGTGATTTGGCAATGCTATAGAAAGCTGCTAAGAAGGTTTCCTTGAGTGTGATAAACATCCTCCAGAGGAGAAATTCTTTGTTTCAACTTGCACTGTTCACCGTCACTTTTGTAGATATCTGATTCTCACTCTGTCTGGCACTGGTTTTCAAAATATCTAATTCAACCATTCTCAGATTATCAAGCTCACAAACAATAAGCAGTTCAATAATTACTGATTGTTTTTCCCCAAGTGGAAAAGCTTGTTACATTATGGAGTTCATAAAACATCCCAGAGATAGGATATAGTCTTCCTGCATCCTCTGTTTCCAGAGTGTTTTTTTCATCTTCCTTTTCTTTCCTTTGTGATCTTTTGAGTCCCAACCTCAGAACTCAGTAGGAGCTGCAGATCTCTGTGAGGCTGAGTCCCTCTGTGTGAGGGATGGGGATGTCTTTAGTGGGGCCTGAGAGTGAGTTATCTGAAGAAGAGGTGGGAGCATCTATCTAGCTGAATGATAAGAAACGTTCCTGGGGAATTCTGGAGACAGCTACTGACTTGGCTTGAGCTGCCATCAACACTGCTGTAAATGTCTGTGAAAAATTTTGACATTCCCAATGACAGTATGGAGAATTTCACTGCTGTGGCCTACAGAATATGTTCAAGTTCCTCCGTGATCCTCTTAGTTTCTGGTAATCTCCTGATACAAAAAGCCAAGCTGCCTATTTTATGATGCATTTTTGCAGAACAATGGACAGTATTAATGATAATTACTTAGGTAACTGCTAGCAAGGATATGTTGTGAGGTTTTTCATTTAAATTGAAGAAATGAAATGGTCTAGTTTCATACCAGCCTACTAAAGGAAGCCTTTATGCAATCATTCAAGACACTGAATTTAAGCCATCCTTGTAGTTGCAACTCAGAACAGGGCAGAAAGTGAAACATGAAAACCTTGCTGAAGGCTAACATCTAGTTGTCATGACTAAGATTGCTAAGAATATTCACAGCTTCTTCTGTAGTGCTTCCACATTCAGGTCTTTGACAGGGAAAAAAAACAAACACAACCAATTACTTTGGCAAGAAAGTCTTGAGGGCTGCAATTCGGTAACAGAAAGAGCAGACATCCAATCTGTTACAGTATGCTGATGCCCCATAACCTATGCCATTTCTACCTCATACATAAAACAGGAATATTGACGACTCTTCTCTGGAAGGATTTGGGGCTGCAATTCTTTTCAAACAGAGTATTAATTAGAAGGTATCTGAGAAGTCATGTTATTTCCCCATTTGTCATCAAATGCATACGGAGAACTGCTTCATCAGCAACTTTCGCCTGCATTCACAATTCAATCACTGGCATTTCCAGGAAAGATACTGATCACAGCACAGCCTCGTGATTATTCTCTGAACAGACAACTCCACAAACATGGTTTTACTAACAGTACAGCACGTTACTACAGAATTTGCATCAACTTAACTGAGCTGCAGTGAAACATTTTGCTAGTTTTTTTATGGACAGCATACAAACCAATGCAGCCAGCAGGTCACAGTGAGCAAAATGATTAATGTTGCAAACATTAAGAGATTTTTTTTTTAGAATTCATCTTTATAAATAATCTTCGAGGAGTTTTGCTGAGAGCCTAATCTGTATTTATTTTGGACATTTGAAAATCACATCTGTGCATGGACTGGCTTATTGAAAAGTCTCTAAAACTGCAGCTGAGTTTACCCTAACACTCTAAACAACATCCAAGCACTTGCTCTATTCTGGCCTCATCTTGTAAGTAACTGAGTACACAAATCTAAAGCTGTTGATTCAGCTCGCTGTAAGCTTGAGACTTTTTGTTTACCATCTTACAAAAATTGACGAAGAAAGGTTTGTTGTGAACTTCAGTTAAAATCTAAAGCTATGAAATAAGGCAGCACTACTTGTATCCAGCAATACCAAGGAGAAAGTGCGGGACAAAGTCTAGACATATAGTGAAGAAAGCCCTCTTTGTTAAGGATGGAATAGCATTAACAAAAACAAAAGGAACAAACAGAAAGCCCAGTGTAGTGGAGATTTGCAGTAAAGCACTTGTTTCTTTAATTTCAACACAAAAATAAATGACTAAATTCAATTTTGAGCTTTCACAGTCAAGATGTCTTGACAAGCATATCAAAAAAGCAAGCACAATACGCAGTAAGAGTTAGAAAAAAATACAACAGGCCATGTGAATATACCCATTTCAAAGGAGAATAAAGAAGCCGAGGCGTAGAAAGTACTTCTGAATATATATTTCTATTTAGAAAAGAGTAGGAATCATTAATACATGACTGACAGTGACTGAAAGTGCAACCCCCTAAAATGATCGAGTCTCACTGGGGCTTCATTTAAATTCTGCAATGTATTAACAAATGCCTGAATAATGGACAGAGTTCAGGGGTTCATAATACATCTTGTTATAAAGAACACCTGCCGAGACCATACTGATCTGTAGTTTAAACATCTTATACAATTAAAATACCTAAATCTAGAAGCCACCTGTTTCCTTTGCCTTCCCCAAGTGCCTTAAGTTTTACTGTAAACACAGGTGAGCAAAATAAGATGCTGTCTGATATTAGGGGACTTGAGAAATTTGCACAACAGCTGAAGTCCCGGTCAGTGGCTTTTGAACTCCCAGCCCCCCAGTTAAAACTGATGAGAGAAGCAGAATCCTCTCTTTCTCTCTCTCTTTCCTTGCCACTTACAAGACAATTCCCACACTGGTTTGGGACAGCAGCTATCCATCCAGCAGCTTGGATTTGACAGCAACCAGCACCAGATGTTGCAGTAGAGGCATAATAAAAAGCAGAATGAGCAACTGTGGAGGAAACTTTTTAATTTTTCCCAAATTCCCAGCGGGGCAATGTGCTTATCCCAAGACATGCTGTATCCCAGGAACTGAGATACCTGTTCACAAATTTAGCAAAAGCTAAAAAAGCTGTCCAGACAGCAGCCCCATCTCCACTGATGATCAGTGAAGCGAGGCTGTGGTCTGCAAGATCTCTAACAAGAGGCTGTATTTCCCTTCTAATTTTAGTCTAGCTGTGAAACAGAAAGCACATAAAGCACCTTCTGAAATTCTACAATGGTGCTTTGCTGTTTTGTTTTGCTTTGTTTCTCATACATAGATACCAAAGCAGTGCAGGTGAGTAGGAGCCTTGAAGGCTGGAAACTGAAACTGAAAAATACACTTGCAGGCCCAATCTTTCCACAGTGAGACTGGCACACCAGTTAACAGCATCTGGGAACCAAGATCTATTCACAGGAAATGTCGGTTGCTCCACTGTTAGCCCAAGACATCAACCAACCACTATTCTGACAGCACAGGGAGAAACGACTCAGAAAGTACTGCTTTTGATGTTCTCAAATAGCACAACAGCCTTGGAAAAGAAGCCTCCATGAACAAGAAACCCTTGCTGACAAACATCTGCTATCCAAGCTTGTGCTCCTTGCAGATCTTGCACAATGCAAAGCTTTGCAGAAAGCCTTCAAATCTATACAAACAACCCAGCACTCCCCTGTGCCAAAAGCCACGAGCTAACCCAGAGCAGCACAGCTGTGCTCCTTCCATGTCACTGCAGGACATGCCTGCTCCTGGTTTTACCAGCGGAGGTGCCTGGAGTGCAGTTTTGGCAGCACTGCACCAACACAGGAAGTGGACAAGGGGATGTAAGTTTTTCCTCCTGTTTTCAAATTTCTTTGGAAGACCCAGCACTGAAACAGAGTTACAGTTTTGCAGAAAGGCGTGGAGCATTTATTAAATTCAGTGAAACTATACAGACATTTCTGAAAGACAAGAAGGTATAAAACAGGCCCCATTTCTTACTACCTAATGCTGATGATCCCATGAACCTGAACACAAGAAGCTAGCTGGCTTCCACACGGGAAAGCAACAGTTTCCAATGGGATCAATTAAACTGAAAGCCTACTATTTTGCCCAGAGAAGCTGTGGATGCCCTTTCTCTGGAAGCAGGTTAGACGGGGCCCTGGGCAACCTGATCTAGTGCAAGACCGCCCGGCCCATGGCAAGAGGGGTGGAAGTAGGTGGCTTGTAAGTTCCAACCCACATCATTCTATGATTCTGATTCTATGATTCTATGATTACATGGTTCTATAATTCTATTTATCCCCTATTTCTTCCTTTGAACAGTGGAGTTTCATCCGCTAAATTTTAATGCACATACTGAAATGAGTTATAACACAATAACAAACTGACATAACAGCATCTCTGCACAGAGCTTGGCAATAGTACCGAAACGGTGATAAGCTCTGGGACATGAACAAACACTTACTAGCAATTACACTGATACCATAAAAAACATCCCCTTCTAAGTAGTTGCAGAGCCAAGGGATAAGAAAAACAGCCCAATAATTAAGGATACATAGCGCATTTCAGAAGAGATTATAGTTATAACTCACTAGTTGCTGTCTTTTCACATAGTAACTCTATAGTTAGAAGGCTACTGATCCATACCCTGAATTCCCAAACAGTAGGCTCACCTCTCTTAGTTTGCCCTTTCCAATAGAAGTCTTCAGAGAAATGGAACAGTCACATTCATCGCCCTTGGTGGCATCTTTGTAATTCCAAAATGCTACATCTCCCTTGCTACCCACTGCTTCTTGCAAAGCATTTGAAATCACATCATAAATTAAAGATCATAAAAAAGGTTCCAAAATAACTTAATTGTTATATTTATCATTGGGAAAATTTTGCATTGGGTATTAAATACTATCCTTAAAGCCACTTGGTCATACAGAGAGTAACTACAAATATTTAGAAAACCAAACACAATTATATTTCCAAAGTGCTATTGAAATTAGACAGTGAGCCATCAGAGGTAAACAATGTTTTCCTCCCCTCCATCTCCACTTTCTGTATCCTGCAGGCTCTCAGGCTGGTGGTTCAGCAGCAGCGCTTCTACTCGTGGCGGCTGAATGGATCCATGGTTTGGACTGTCTGCCTGGGGACTCTGGATCTGTGATGCATTTAAATCTGTAAGAAACGAGAGGAGGACATGTGACAACACATCTTTTATGCCCATGCAACCACTAAGAGCAAATTTTGACTTTTTGATTAGCGATGTGCTAAAGCACCACCTCCAAGAAAGTCACATCTGTCCAGAAGGAAAAACACTCCTGTATTACTTAATTATATGAAAGACTGGTGAGAAATAGCATGCCCAAAACTACTGAAATCTGTTCAAGTCTTTCCATTGTCATGAAAGAGCTTGAATCCGTCTCACTATTTTTACAACAAACGACATTTACATCCTTACTTTGCCAACCAGAAGCACAATAGTGAAAATGTATACAGACTGTCAGAGTTGGGCTGGAGGGAAACACACTGTAGATAATCAGTACCCTTATTAGTAAGATAATCCAGTTATTAAACTAATATAGTTTCCATTATTACATAGAATTATGTTTGCAAGACTATTTTCTTATGGATGTGAAAGTTAGCAAAGTCCAGTTAAGAGACTGCTTGACTTGCACTTGCAGTCTGTAACAGACATGTAACTAGTCAGTTTCTTCCACCAATTTCATCTTTATTTCTTTGAGCAAACTACTTACTCTATTCTTGTCTCAGTTCTTTAGCTGTGGAAATATTAATTCTACCCAAGCACTACGAAATTATTTTACAGGACCTTTCATTTGTTATCTTCCCAATTTTCTCCTACAAATGCAGAGAATCAGGCACTTTTTTTTTTTTTTTCCTGCAGAGCTCTGAAGGCTTTTGCAATCATCTGTAAGTTACTCAAAAAACAAACAAACAAACTAACTAACTAACAAGTAAATAAACAACAACGACAAAAAACACCCACATGGTTGAATTCTCTCTCAGTGCCATTTCAGGACATCAGGAACTACATTATAGAAGTTAGTTCTTCTACAACTTTGTTTCTACAAATCAACATTTCCCATATGAACAAGATGCATGAGAAGGGAGCATATACCATCATATTTGGTATGAGAAAAGCTTGCGACAGACAAACTGCAATACTTGGCCCATTCTCATTAATACAGGACCAACCCAACCAACCTCTGCTACTACATAGGATTAAGGGCTTTGGAAAAACAACTCCACAGGAGGAAGCAGCATTCATGCAACAGCCATCACAGGTAACATCAGAAGCAAGCAAACCCAGCATTGGGTCCTTTGAGCCTTCTGTCACTCATGCAGAAACTAAAAAGACATTCTGTGCCCACCTCTGTCCTCATCCCTTCTCTCTTGTGTGCAAAGGAAATCTCTTATAAAGAAGATAATTGTTTTTCTTACTTACTGTCACTCTAAATGATCGTGATTTACAATGATACCTGCCCACAGCTGGTTCTTCCAAGATGCATGCAGCTTTCATCAGTCTCGTTTACTAAATTCATGGAAACATAAGTTTGCTGGCTAACTAAACTCAGGCTGCTCACTACCTCTGGGAATGTGGAGCAGTGCAAGTCAGCTGTGGGACAGTATATGAGAACAAACTGTTCTGCTGCACTGCCTTCAGTATGCTCTCCACTCTGATAACCTGAGAGCAAACAGCCTCCAGTACTTCACTCCAGTGCAAGCGGTACGTAGGCAGTACCTGCTGCTGAGATTGCAGGGCAGGTGCCAGGGCCAAGGTATTTATATATCATCAGTGGTTGGTCAGTACCAGGGTGACACAGAATGCAAGAAAATGCAGCCTAAATTCCCCTCTTTTTATTGTTTTACACTGGATTTAAGTGATTGAGTTTTAGTCTCTGCGAAAATCCACAGTAAGTTTTGATTGCAGGTGCACTACTCTGGATTTGCAGAATGTAATACAGGAGGACTGGACTCCCTTACTCAAACAGCTTAGCTTTGTTAGTTGACATCTGCACTTTTTTTTAATAGCCATATTAGAAAAAGATTACAATTTGCTGACTCAGATTCAAGAAACCAGAAATATCCTAACACCTGCTTGTCTTTATGCAAGCTGGATGCTTCAGTTTTATTTATTTAGTAAAAAGAGTGAAAGGTTCTCAATCTCTGAACGCTAGTACTGAAGGTAATTTTGCCCACATTAATATTCCTTTCAAGTCCTGTGAGTCTGTTCATCTTAACAAAGTTACATGCATAAAAATATCAGGCAGTAAGCATTTATGTGAAAGATCTTCTTCCAAAGTTTATGAAGTACATAATTGGAGAAGCCTAATTACAAATTTGAAGAAACCTAGAAAAGAAAAGAGAAACACCTTACACACAGTTTATTTTCTACCATCAAAACTAAACAGTAATTGCTTCACCAATTAAAGCAGTAGCTGTTTCCAAGCCATTTCTCATGAACTGGTACAATGCTAAACGGCAGAGCTAAGCAATGAAAACTGACAATGTTCTGGAAAAACAAATCACATGCAGTCACTGTTGGAATAAGTGATTTATTGGCAGTTTAGTTGCTTTTCTATTCTCTTATTATTTTTAAGCCCTTGCATTCTAAGAACCTGAACAACAGGAGAGTTTCAGATTGGATACCAGGAAAATGTTCTTCACCAGAAGGTGGTTGGGTGGAACACTGCCCTGGAATAGGCTCTCCAGGGCAGTGGTCACTGCACTGAGCTTGTCAGACTTTCTTAGATTCCCCTCCAGATATTCTGCAGGGGAATATGTCCATGATGCTGTGACTCCGTGATCCAGGGAATGACAGCCCAGACACCATCACAGTTGATACACACTTTGGTGAGGTGGAAAGGATCTGCTTTTCCAGCAAACGAGGGAAGGGAACAGTTTCAGATGCACCAGGCTCTTCCTCACCAAGGAACAGCATCCCCAGGCTGAAGCCTCATCCTGCTATGGGTGCCACACTGCAGGCTGCCTGGCAGGAGGCCATGCAGTCTGTCATGCAAGCAGAGAGAATGGCTTGTCAGTGATAAGCCACAGGTGAAGGGGCTGCTGGTGGTAAGGGACTGCCCAGAAACTCTGTGCTGGCAGTCAGAGTGGCACTGGGGAACCAAAGCCCGGCCTCTCTGCAGTGCTGTGATGGGCAGCCATGGCTTGGAGTGGATTTAGAGCTGGGCCAGTGAGGACCATCTGCCTTTGATGAGCCTCCTCTTCACTTCTTTTTTTTTTTTTTTTTTGCATAGCTCCAGCTCAATGAGGCCAGGTACCAGGCAACTGCAAACAAGACTTTATGACCATAAAGTATATTTTTAGACAACAAAAATAACAACACAAGCCTGTGAGGCAGCTTTCACATTATTTCCAGGGAGGACCTGAGTTCTCAGATCAGGGCCTGGTCTCCATTGCAGAGAACCAAAAGCTCCTGGCTTAAAACATGATCCAGGAAATGAGAAATGTGGCATTCTACTTGCTAATTGCCTTATCCTACCCTTCCTGTAACACCAAAAGACAGGATGACTGGCATAGCACAAACCACTTAGAGGTGAAAGACAAAGCAACGGAATTTGCACAAAGCTGAGATCAATAGTAATTTGCACAAAGCTGAGATCAATACATACCAAAACAAACACAGGGTCAAAGATTGGTGGTGGGAAGCCAAGTAAACACCTTATTAGTCACACTGATTCTCACCTTCTGTCTGTTGTCACAGGATGTAAGCATTTCCACATCAAATAAATGCCACAGATTTTCTCCTTCACCTCTCCCCCTTGGAGGACAAGAGCTCTGCAGGTAAGCCTGGAGTGCCCACAGTGAATGTTACAGGGAGGATGGGATGATGTTAACAAGGTGCTAGAAAATACTTCAGGCAGCAATCCCTGCTCAAGTGTCTGTGTTTTAAATAGAAAGCCCTTTCTCTTCCAGCTCTGACCCCAATTTTTCAGCATCACAGGATAAGTCACATTGCAAAGGATCTGAGAAAGTCTCTGGCCCGAACTGAGTCAGTTCTAAGGTCAGCATAGGTTGGAGGCTTCAGAGCTTTTCAAAAGAGAACAAAGGAAAAAAAAAAAAAAGAGGGAAAAAAAAAAAAGAAAGGAAAAAAGGGGAAGAGAAAAGGGAACTCATCACATGGACTATATTGCATAAACAGTAAGCGCACTGAGTGAATCTGTTATGACCTTCAGAGACCTGTGTCATATGTTGGCCCTCTTTAGAAAACAAACTGTCATTATACGAAGAAAGAGATGTGCCACTTTGAGCAACATGTTAGATTTTTAAATCAATTATTCATCTGTGGATAAAGAAAAAAAAAAAAAAAAAAACACAAAAAAACCAGAATAGAGTTACGTCTTGGTTTTACCATTTCTTTCTAATGACCAGTTTTTATACCAAGTTCATCTGGACTGACAGCTGACACATCAACTTAAGGCCAGAGCTATATGAAATGGCAGAGCTGCTGTATTTAATCCCCCACTCCCTCGGGCACTCATGCATAATGCAAAGCACAGGCAGACACCTAAAAAACAGTGCTAACTCCACCAGGACTGGGATATTCAACGGAATTCACGGGAAACAGGCTCCTATTTGCCATCACTGTTCAACAGCAAATGGCAGGCTAGCTCCTGTAAGCTCCTCTGGAAGTGTCCTTCAGCAACAATAGGGCAGCTCTTTGTAAGAATGCTCCCAGAGGTTTCCACCCTGATTCCTTTGCAAGAGCCGATTTTCCAGGGAACTCTAAATATCTCAGCCTCCTTCCCTTTCCTCCCAGCAAACAACACTGTGATCGGTTTTGATTACTTTTTTAGTGTGATGGATTTGTGATGAATTTCCCGCTGAACAACATGCGGCAACATGTTGTTAACCTGCAGGGACATCTCACCCCTTCACCACGGTGTGACCAAGACCCCAGCTCTCAGCAAACACCGGGAAAATATTCTGACCTTGAAGTTACCATGGAAAGAGGAGCCTAATTCATTCCTCAACTGAATAAGTAAGGCAGGAAATCAATCCGAGAATGTTAATGCCTCTATTTACTTGTAACCAATCCTAACAGGAAAAAGCAGTAACTGCGTTTCTCAGGCAAACAAGCACCTTCATGAATCAGAGGTCTTTTCACAAAAGGTAGATGACCAATTAGGCTTTAC